GGTGGGTACTGCATGATGTGAACCTTGGTTTTGAACTCTGTTCCTGCCCCTCCCCAACCGCCCTGGCCTGTGCCCACCCCGTGCCTGCTGTGGCTCGTGGGTGGCGGTGGTGGGGCCGGGTGGCCCCTGCCCAGCGCCTGCTGGAATGAGAAGCACAGACTCCGCCACGGACTCCTTTTCCCTCCCCTCCTCCGCCCTCCTTCCGCCCAGCCAGGCCTGGCGGCCCCGCCCCCCCCCGCTGGCCATTTTGGGGGGAATGAGGGGGCGTGGTTGTTTCTTGTGGTTGTGTGTGTTTGTTGTTTGGATTTTAAAAAAGGGAAACTGAGACTGCAGGTGGGGGAGGTGGTGGATTTTTGGGGGGATGTCCCCCAATCCAGGAGTACCCCCCACTTGTCACTGAGTCTCCTCTATTGCCTGCCTCTGCTGTGAATTAACTTTGTTCTGTGTATTAAACTGGGCCTGACCCCTCTGCCCACGACTGCCTTGTTCTCCTGTTTGATCGGGGGCGTCACCAAGAAGTGGGGCTGGGAGTGGGGGGGCCTTGTTGGGGGAGAGGCAGCCAGCCAGCCCCTACCTCTATCCACCTCCTCCTCCCCACACCGCACCCCACCTCTCCCTGGCTTTGTCCCAGCTCCGCCCTGCTTTGCCAGAAAGGAGGAGAAGGGGGATGGGGTGGAGGGGCTCCCGCCCAGCCAGCTGTGGTTGCCCTGGCAACGGGCTGCTGCAGCTGCAGCGGGCGCAGCCGGGAGGGAGTCGGGAGCTGGGCCGGGGGAAGGGAAGGGCTGGGAAGAGGATGTTGGGGCGGCCCCTGCTGGGGTGCTGGGATGGGGAATGGGGGTGTCCGGAGGGGTCATCTCAGGCCCAGACATCTCCGGGGGCTCCCTGTTCTGGATGTGGGGCAAATCAGCAGTTGGGGATGGGGTGGAGACGGAAGCGCTAAGGGAGGGCAGGAGGGTACCTAGACTCGGGCACTGGGAGAGAGACAGACGTGGGCGACGGGCGGGGGGCGGGAGTGAGAGTGAGAGAACTAGGACACAGATCAGGAGAGAGAAAGAGATGAGGACAGTCACACAGTTACTGAGAGAGTCAGAAAAAAGAGCAGGAGGGTGCAGAAGGGAGAGAAACAGGAGGAAGGATGGGGGAGAAGAAGGGAGCAGGGGTGAGGCTTAACGGGAGAGAGGGAATAACAGTAATAAAAAATAGCTGACAGGCGGGGAGAGCCGGGAGGAGGAGGAGGTGACTGGGGAAGATCAGCAGCAGATTTCGGGAGAGGTCTTCCCAGAGGGGAGGCAGAGGAGGAAGCAACAGGGATCAGGAGAGGGAGGCATGTTGCGGGTGGGCAGAGAGAGACTTGGGATCAGGGACAGGCAAAGCCCCAGGACAACAAACAGGCAGAGATGGGGAGAGACGGGGGCAGAGGGGAGAGAAAGAGACAGAATTTAGGGGAACTGCAGAATCTGCAGAGAGAGCCGGAGGTATGAGGGACCCAGAAAGACTGGGGAGGAGAACCAGGATGGGGTGGGAGCAGGAGAGATCGAGATGGGTAGAGGAAGCTGGAAACGGGCACGAAGGGAAGGGCCGCGCGCCGCAAAGCACAGTTCGGGCGCGACCAGGGCTGGCGTGCGCACGAGTTGTGGGGTGCTGGAGGCAGCTGGCGTGGCTCTGGCGCCAGGAGAGGATGTGAGAACAGCCTGTTCCTCGGCTTCCCACCCCCTTCGCCCGGTGGCGGGGGGAGGGCAGTGCGGGTTGAGGACGGGGCGTCAAGGAGGAGGGTGGAGACAGGGAGGGTGTCTGGAGAACTCCAGAATTTTTAAGAGACGTGGGAAAGGCTGGTCCTGCTACTTTGATGCCAGCCCCACGCCTTTTGGAAAAAGATACTTTTTGAAGGGGGCAGGGTCTGAGTCAGAGAAGCACTGGGTTTTAGCTCAGGGATGTGAAACTCCATGACAGGCACATGGGTGTGGGGGCAGGAAGACCCCACCTGGCCAGCCCCGTCAGGAGGCTAGGCTTCCAAGGGGCCGGACTTCGTGATTTCCACAGGAATTTCCTGATTCAGAAATCAGTTTGGCCCAGATTCCCAAAAAGCAAATGTTGATCGGGCCAGATGCAGATCTGGAGTGATGAGGGGCTGCTTTCTACCCCCAAAGCGCTCACTTGGCAACTGGTAGTGGGGGTCTGCTCCTACCTCTATAGACAGAAGTCAGGGAGTGTCCCAAATCCAGCCATGTGGCCGAGGCCAAAGGAGGCAGGGCCCCTTACTTTAGAGTGTTGCAGCAAAGGACGGATCAAAAAATTGGAAACCTGGCCTTCACGTGCTATCTCCTTTTTTTTTTTTTAAAGTTAAGCTGGGAGCAGTGGCTCACACCTGTAATCCAGCACTTTGGAAGGCTGAAGTGGGCAGATCACTTGAGGTCAGGAGTTCAAAACCAGCCTGGCCGACAAGTGAAACCTCGTCTCTACAAAAATACAAAAATTAGTCAGGTGCCTATAATCCCAGCTACTTGGGAGGCTGAGACAGGAGAATCGCTTGAATCTAGGGGCGGAGGTTGCAGTGAGCTGAGATTGTGCCACTGCACTCCAGCCCAAGAGAGCCTACTGTCTCAAAAAAAAAAAAAAAAAAAAAAAAATTCTTTTTGGAGGCAGGAGCTTTGCTATGTTGTCCAGGCAGGTTTTGAATTTCCGGGCTCAAGCAATCCTCCTGCCTTGGCATCTCAAAGTGCTGAGATTACAGGCATGAGCCACGGCGCCTGGCTGAACGTCCAGATTTTTAGAAGTTAGCCACTATTTCTAAGACCCAACACAAAACTCCAGGCTGGGTCTGGCCTTCAGGCCTCCAGCATATGACCTCTGAGGCAGAATCTCACTCTTGAACATTGGCCGGGTGCGGTGGCTCACACTTGTAATCCCTACACTTTAGGAGGCCAAGGCAGTCAGATCATCTGAGGTCAGGAATTCAAGACCAGCCTGGCTAACACAGTGAAACCCCATCTCTACCAAAAATACAAAGAATTAGCCAGGCATGGTGGCGCGTCCCGGTAATCTTAGCTATTTGGGAGGCTGAGGCAGGAGAATCGTTTGAACCTGGGAGGCAGTGGTTGTGAACTGAGATCATGCCATTGCATTCCAGCTTGGGCAACAAGAGCAAAACTCTGTCTTAAACAAACAAACCAAAAAATTTACATTCTGAGTATTGGATTTCTGTCCTTTGGATTCCACAAGGCAGGTGCCCTGTGGTTCTCAGGACCAGTGGGGTGGTCACGGTCTGGGGAACATGGGGACAGGAGCAGCAGGAAGGGCCCATGCCGGACCACAGCCTCTCGCTAGCAACTCCAGACAGCTGCCCCAAAAGTGAACACAGAAGCCATTTCTATGAAACATTTATTTCCTTTGAAACCTCCAGAAACATGCCAGAAAATCTCAAGACAAGGATGGCGGGGCGGGGAGGGGGGGAGACAATAAAGAATAATAATAAAAAAATCCAAATGAAACAAATCAACATATGAAAAAAAATCCTGCTGCTATCTTCAGCCATCAGATAGAACACCAACCTCAAATTAAATAGATCTGTTTTTGCAGAAATCCCTACAAAATAACAGAAAACAAAACCAAAAATCATAATTTACACTTGTCCATGTACATGATTAAGTCCCCAAAATGATTCGAATGATCTGAAGATGGGAGGAGGAGGCAACTGAAAAAATAAAAGGACCTGATCAGGGTCTGAGGAAAGGGGTGGGGGACTGGAGAGCCCCAGGGAAGGGGATGGGTAGAAGACGACATCACAGTAGCTGGCCAGGGCTGAGGACGCTGCCTTGGGCATACACGCCCACCTCACTCTCGGTGTGGAGGGCAAGGGCATGCAGGGGGCAGCACTGAGGTTTCCTCCTCCAGGGGGCCAGAGGCTGATCACAGGAGACATGATGAGCATCCTCCTCTCTTGCCCCCACCCATCCACACTGGCACCTCCCTGAGTGCCTGCGTCCTAGGCAGACCCCGGAGCCTCCTTCCTTGAGGTTCCTGGCCCCAGAGAGAAGGCGGCAGGGTCCCTGGACAAGGGCCGGGCTGCCTGGTGCTGGTTTGTGGCCAGACGTGCTCTGCCAACTCCTCCCCACCTGGTGCCTCCAAGGGTACCGGCCTGCCCGCCCTGACTTTGTCCCTCTGGTCCTCCCAATGACCCCCAGCCCACGGGGGCCACACGCCTTGATCCTCAGCTTGAGGTTAGGGGGTGAATCCACAGGCTGTGGCCATACAGGCCTGTTCTGGCGCCAACTCTACATGAAAAAATAAATATATATATATATCTATATCTTTTTCTGTTTGTTTTTCAAGAAGGAAAAAAAAGAAACGGTTTCCTTGGTGAACAGCGTGGTACCACACCGGCGTGGCTGCCCCTTATTGCCTTTAGAGAACCAGCGTCCAGTGGGGTTCAAGGGGGGCGGTGCTCCCCAGGGAGTACGGTGAGGGAGTCTGGTGGTCGCTGCTCAGAGAGATGGGCCGGGAGACTCGCAAAGGAAAAAAAACAGAGGAGGAGATAGATGAAGGCTGTTCTTCTCCAGCCCTGTCCGGAGGGCTTCCGGAGCCCTGCCTGGAGCCCAGAAGAGGCCGAGGCTGCTGGTCAGGGCCAGGTCGTGCCAGGAGGGGGAGGAGGAGGGGAAAGGGGAGGGAGAGGGGAGGAGGAGGAGGAGAAGGAGGAGGAGCAGGAGGAGGAGGAGGAGGAGGAGGAGGAGATGCGGTGGCCGTGGCGGCAGCGGCGGTGGCGGCGGCGGCGGCGGCGGCGGCGGCGGCGGCGGCGGCGGCGGCGGCGGAGGAGGAGGAGGAGGAGGAGGAGGAGGAGGAGGAGTAGGAGGAGCAGAAGAGAGTCCGCTGTGTGTTGGCTCCACTGCCCCCGCCCGGCCTGGGTGGGAGCAGGAAGGTGGAGGGGCCTGTGGGCTCCCAAGCCCAGGCGTGGTGGCCTCTGGCGCAAGAGGAGCTGATAGAAAAAGATCGTATAAACAGTCCCCGAGGTACAAATAGAGTTTCTCTCTCAAATAAATCCACTCTGGAGGCTAGCCTTGCCTCTCTCCATCCTCAGGCCCCCAAGAAAATAATTTAAACTCTAAGAAAGTGCTCCTGGCTGCTTTTTGGGAGGAGGGCGGTAGGGAGGGGATCACGTTCGTGCTTTTTGGAGCTTGCGCGCTAGGGGCCGAGGCACCCTGGTCTGTTTCCTCGAGGGCCTCACCTCTCTGGGTGTGGGGAGAAAGGGTGCTTTCACGCTGTACTTTTCATGCAGGGGCCTCAGCCCCACAAGCTGCAACTTCCTCGTGCGTGGCGAAGAAACCTGCTGTGTGACCTCCTGGAGCCAAGGGGTCTGCAGACTGGCTCCTCTCTCTGTCCCCATCAGCTTCGGAGGGCTGGTCCCAGGAAGAGGCCAAATGGGGACGGCAGGACAGGCCCAGGGGTGGTGTGGGCACAACCCAGCTCACAGGGACCACAGCTGGGCAGCTCGGAGAGAGGCCTGAGACCACGTCGCCCTCCGGGGCTTAAGGGCCGTGCGCTGACCCTGCCTCACAGCCCCAGTGAGGCCCCTCGGGTCCTACTGCCATTGGGGTTTCCGTGTCCATGGGGAGGGCCCTGGCTGGGTCATCTTGGTCATGCCAGCAGCCAGGAGCTGAGTAGAGGGAAAGAGGCAAGCAGGGCCACAGCCTATGGGGAAGGAGCCAGGGCTGGGCGGCGGCCTCCCCACCTCAGAGCTCCTTCTTCTCCCTGCAGAAGATCTCTGCAAACTTGCGCAGCTGCTCGCTGGCGGCCTGCGACTCCTCCTGCAGCCGCTGGTTGTTCTGCCGCAGGCTGGCCACCTCGGACTGCAGCACCACCTTGTCCTGCTTCTCCTGCGTGGGGTGGGAGGCCAGCATCAGGCGGGAGGGCGTGGCTGCTCCTGGAACAGCTGACAGCTCCCCGGGGCCTGCGAGCCCTGGCCTGGTGGTGCTTTGGAGCTGGGCAAGGCCGGGTGCATCCCAGTCTGCCTCTCCGCCACCAAGGGACCCTGGGCAAGTCACTCAGTTCCTGGTTCCCGCAACTCTACCAGGAGGCTGAGGAGTGGCCTGGAGCTCATATACTTAGAGCTCCTGGAATGTGGCCCGACATGGAGTTCGGTATGCATTTGGGATGTGGCTTGACAAACATCACTACTGTGGTGGTCACATCCAAAATCATACTACCCGAGGACCTGGTGTCCCTATTTTCCTGGAAGAGGATGAGCAGGGTAGCCTAAGCAGACCCTATTCTTCCAGGAGGACATAGCCCCTGAAGACAGTCCCGTCTCAGGTCACGCAGCATTATGCAGTGGAGCAGGGGTCAGAAACTGGGTGACTTTGATTCCAGGGCTCAAGGACTTATGCATTATATACTCTGCCACCTTTCTGACTTTTACCCAGAAGTATAGAAATGACAGGTAAAAGTCTCTTCCTCATTCTTTTCTTTTCATGAGACCGAGTTTCATTCTTCTTGGCCAGGTGGAGCGCAAAGGCACGATCTGAGCTCACTGCAACCTCTGCCTCCCCCAGTTCAAGTGATTGTCCTGCTTCAGCCTCCCAACCAGCAAGGATTACAGGCACCCACCACCACACCTGGCTAACTATCGTACTTTTTAGTAGTGATGGGATTTCACCATGTTGGCCAGGCTGGTCTCAAACTTCTGACCTTAGGTGACCCACCCGCCTCGGCCTACCAAAGCGCTGGGATTACAGGCATGAGCCACTGCGCCTGGCTAGTCTCCTCCTCCTTCTTCCGCCCCGTGGAGACAAGTCCAAAGAACAATTGCCTGTCACCTTCTAGACGGCCCTCTCAACGCCTAGTGGTTAAACAGTAAATTAATAATATGATTGTGTAGCCAACAGTGCTGCAGCTCGCTTTGGTTTTTACTTAAGTTACTGGACTTCTTTTGCATGTGAGTAAATATATAGATTTGTTATTACTTTAATTGGCTGCATGCTGTTCTGCTGCATGGGTGCCCTGTAATTTACACAGCCGTTCTGTTGAGTGACAGCCACGCCAGCTCCAATTTTTATTGCCAAGAGTGTGGCAACGAATGGCCTTGTTCACAATCTCTTTGTACCCACGCCGAAACTCTCATGGATAAATTCCCACAAGTGGAATTACTGGGTCAGCAGGGTGCACAATTACTTTTTTTTTTTTTTTGAGACGGAGTTTCGCTCTTGTTACCCAGGCTGGAGTGCAATGGCGCGATCTCGGCTCACCGCAACCTCCGCCTCCTGGGTTCAGGCAATTCTCCTGCCTCAGCCTCCTGAGCAGCTGGGATTACAGGCACGTGCCACCATGCCCAGCTACTTTTTTGTATTTTTAGTAGAGACGGGGTTTCACCATGTTGACCAGGATGGTCTCTATCTCTTGACCTTGTGATCTACCCACCTCGGCCTCCCAAAGTGCTGGGATTACAGGCTTGAGCCACCGTGCCCGGCCTACTTTTTTTTTTTTGAGCTGGAGTCTTGCTCTGTCGCCCAGGCTGGAGTGCAGTGGCACAAACTTGGCTCACTGCAACTTCTGACTCCTGGGTTCAAGCGATTCTCCTGCCTCAGTAGCTGGGATTATAGGCGGCTAGTTTTGTATTTTTAGTAGAGAGGGGTTGCACCCCATTGGCCAGGCTGGTCTCGAACTCCTTGTCTCAAGTGACTCACCAGCTTCGGCCTCCCAAAGTGCTGGGATTACAGGTGTGAGCCACCGTGCCCGGCGCAATTACATTTTTGATAAATGTTGTTCAACTGCCCTCCAAAAAGCCTGGGCCGATTATTCTTCCCCCAGGAACGGATGACTTTCTCTGTGTACTTGCTAGCCTTCAGTGTTATCACTGTTTACTCTTCACCCATTACTACATGCAAGCACAGGAGGTGTAGGGCGGCCCACGGTCTGGGAAGTGGGATGGAGGGGGGCGTGGCCCCGGCCTTACCTTCTGCAGGTCAGTGTGCAGCTGTTTCAGCATCACCTCCAGCTGGTATACCTTGCCTGTCAGATCCAGGGGTGGTTCCTCACTGGAAGGACCAGGGACAAGGTCAGCCTGAGGCCCCACAGCCCCCGAGGAGGACTCCTGGCCTACAGCTGAGAAGAGCCTGGGGGTACGGGCCCCCCTCATCCCTGACATTCTGATAAAGCCCAAGGAAGAGCTCCGAGGGGAGGTAGGAAGCCAGCCCTCCACCCTCCACCCACCAAGGGCACCTCTGTGGATGTGGGCGGGGTGTTGGGAGACCAGGCTTGGGGAAGGGTGGGTGCCCACCCTAAAGTGTGCATTTTCCCTGGGGCTGGGCCGTGCATGTGACTTCAGTGAGGACCCCTTTTTCGTACCGCCAGGATACAAAGAGCCCACTCCACAGACACCTCGTGGATGCAGGTACCGTTCCAGGCACAAGAAGCACGAGAGCGGACAGATGGTCAAAAGGGCCCGCTCTTGGGGGTAGGACTGACAGTGGTCCTGGCAGTGATGCTGACCATGTGCCTGTCACTAAGAGCCGCCCCTCACCAAGCCCCAGACTGGCCGGCTCAGTCTCAGAGCTCTACTGCCCACTGTGGCCTTCAGAAGTGCTGCATGGTTACCCACCAGACAGGGGACAAGGCCCAGGTGATGTCACCCAGCCAGGTGTTGGTGCTAGGATTTGAATCAGGGCCAGTAGCTGCCCCTGTGCAGATACTCCCAGCCCCGGGTCTGCCTGGCTCCTGCAAAGAACTCGCAGCCCTTCCTGCCTGGAGCTGGGGCTGAAGGAGGCTCCACTGGGCGCCGTGGGTACGCAGGCACAGTGGCGGGGATGAGGGGCTGGCCCTCCTGCCTCACCCACCCTTTCCTACAACCTTGCTGCTCAGTCCTAGGGATCTGGCGCTGCAGAGGGAGATGGGGCACACGGACTCGAGGAGCGCTGCCCAGGGCCACAGGTCCCGCTGCTTCCCACAGCCCACGCTGCTCCTGCCCCTCGGCCTGGCAGCACCAACTGGAACTGCCGACCTCTGGTAATTACAGTGGGGCCTGCGTTTGTGGTGGAGGTTGCATTCTGAAGCCAGAGTGTGAAAAGCAAGAAGTCAAAATTACCCTCAAAAATGGCTCCCACTGCCCATGAAGTACAGTGCATGGATGGTTGTATATAGAACCCTGCACCGTGAGGTGTGCAGACGAGTGTGAAATGCACTATTTAAATCCATGTACAGGCAGAATGTGCCATTTACATTCTCTCTGCCTCTTTTTAATTTTGTTTTCTGCCAAGTGAGTGCAGTCAAATATGCTGCGCTGAATGTGAGAAGCCACGCGTGAGATGACAAATGTGAGATATCTGTCCCCGTCCTCTTCCTTCCCCCGTGAAGCCTCCTGAGGGCCAGGCCTGGCCTCAGTTGCCACTGGGTCCTCAGATGGCCCAGCGTGGCACCTGGCAGGGAGGCCGGGAAGGGTGAGTGTGAGCAGAAGTCTGTGGGGTTTAGGAATCTGCAAAGGAGGAGACTGGCGGGAGATGGGCGGCGGCGACGGGGGATGAAAAGCTCAGGGCTGGAGGATTGGGAGACAGTGCCTAGGAGCTTTCTTTTCTTTCTTTCTTTTTTTTTTTTTTTTTTTTTTGAGATGGAGCCTTATTCTATGGCCCAGGCTGAAGTGCAGTGGTACGATCTCGGCTCACTGTAACCTCTGCTTATCAGGTTCAAGCGATTCTCTTGCCTCAGCCTCTTGAGTAGCTAGGATTGCAGGCAAATACAACCATGCCTGGGTAATTTTTGTATTTTTGTATTTTTTTTTTAACAAGATGGGGTTTCTCCATGTGGGTCAGGCTAGTCTCAAACTCCCAACCTCAAGTGATCCGCCCACCTTGGCCTCTCAAAGTGCTGGGATTACAGGCGTGAGCCACTGTGCCCAGCCTGCTAAGCAGTTTTCAAAGTTGGAAGCAAAACGGTTGCCTATGTATTGATTCAAGTGTCATCTCCGCTGGACCGGGCGATCTGTTGGGGCCGAGCTGAGTCTGTCTTGGTCACTGTGGATCCCCAGGGCATAGACAGGAGCAGGGTAATGACTTCTAAGCTTGTTAGGAGAGGGGAGTAGCTGTTATAATAGCTTCTGCCCGGAGACTGGTGGGCATGACCCACAGTGACCCACCTCTCTCTGGATCAGCCTCTTCCACTGCACAGACTTGCTGCTGGTATGAACCCGGGTGTTCCCAGGGAAACCTCACCTCATGGTAGGGGTGGTCCTGGGGGTCGGGGGCCCCCTCTCCAGGCTCAGGTGGCTGTGGACAGGACTGTGTGCAGGCGGGACATCCGGGCTCAGGGCCGGGTCGTTCAGAGAGAAGAGCGAGACGGCTCTTTGCACTGCCAGGGAGGGAGGAGGGGGAGAGGGGGTCAGCAAGGCTCCCAGCTTCTCCTGCAACTGACTGACAACGCCTCTGCCCGCAAACCTCCACGACACTGCCCATCACACTTGGGATAGATCGCATAGGCATTTGGGACAGATTCTTGCCAAAAAACCCAACCAAATGAACACACAAGAACACAAACAAAATCCCATCCTGATTCTGATCAAGGCTTTAGATCCAATGACTAGTTTACACAAAATCCAAGGGCTGGAAGAAGCCAGTTAGATAAGAGTGTGAGGCAGCAACTGATCAAATTCTGAACCTGGGATGCTCTCAACATAAATGACCTGATTTTAGTCTGCAAGCAAAAGGGAGGAAAAAAGGGGTCCAAAGCAGACGGGCTGGTGCCAGGTCCATGGGGATTCATTATCAGATTCGCTCTCCTTCAGAGGAAGCTGGGAAGATTTCAAAAGCGAAGAGAGAAGCGAGACAGAGCACATCATGCATATTGAAGAGAGAAAAGAAATCGCATGGGGGTGCCAGTGAAAGTGAACATTCCTGGGTCCCGCCTTGGACATGTGACTTGAGCTGGGGGCACCTGAACCATCTGCGTTTTCAAACGTGACTGTTAGATGTTCTTTCTGTAATGGCAACAGCTGGCCACCGCCCCAAAGCCCTCCAATAGTGGCTGGTTCAGTGAGCTATGAACAGCCAGACAATGGAATCCTTGGGGGTGTTAAAAACAAGAAGGTGTACCTGGGTGCTATGTGTTGAGGGCAGCCTGGGGTGTGGCAGGGCAGGGCAGAGTGGCAAGCCCTGGAGGCAAGCAGCTTCCTGGGTCCAACTTCCACTCTCTGCCTCAAGCAGAGTAAAAACCCCAACACCCTTTCCCTGGGGCCACTCACTGTTAACATTTTTCCAATTTACTTTTTTTTTTTTTTTGAGGCAGAGTCTTGCTCTGTTGCCCAAGCTGGAGTGCAGCGGTGTGATCCTGGCTCACTGCAACCTGTGCCTCCTGGTTTGAAGCGATTGTTCAAGTGATTCTCTTGCCTCAGCCTCCTGAGTAACTGGGCCTACAGGCATGCACCACCATACCCAGCTAATTCGTGTATTTTTAGTAGAGACAAGGTTTTGCCATGTTGTCCAGACTGGTCTCGAACTCCTGGTTTCAAGTTATCTGCCCACCTCAGCCTCCCAAAGTGCTGGGATTACAGGTGGGAGCCACCATGCCTAAAACCACCAACGTCATGGTGCAATACCTTGGTACTTCACTGGACATGGCCAAAAAATAAGGATACTCTCTCATATAATCACACCACCACTATCATACTGAAAAAATCTAACAATTTGCCGGGCGCGGTGGCTCAAGCCTGTAATCCCAGCACTTTGGGAGGCCGAGGCGGGTGGATCACAAGGTTGAGAGATCGAAACTATCCTGGTCAACATGGTGAAACCCCGTCTCTACTAAAAATACAAAAAACTAGCTGGGCGTGGTGGCGCGTGCCTGTAATCCTAGCTACTCAGGAGGCTGAGGCAGGAGAATTGCCTGAGCCCAGGAGGCGGAGGTTGCGGTGAGCCGAGATCGCGCCATTGCACTCCAGCCTGGGTAACAAGAGCGAAACTCCGTCTCAAAAAAAAAAAAAAAAAAAAAAAAAAAATTAACAATTTAACAGACGCATAGGATATTATCTCTTTTTTTTTTTTTTGAGACATAGTCACATTCTGTCGCTGAGGCTGGAATGCAACGGCGTGATCTCAGCTCACGCAACCTCTGCCTCCTGGATTCAAGTGATTCTCCTGCCTCGGCCTCCTGAGTAGCTGGGACTACAGGCGTGCGCCACCATGTCGGCTAATTTTTGTATTTTATTTATTTATTTATTTATTTATTTATTTATTTTTTTGAGACGGAGTTTCGCTCTTGTTACCCAGGCTGGAGTGCAATGACGCGATCTCGGCTCACCGCAACCTCCGCCTCCTGGGTTCAGGCAATTCTCCTGCCTCAGCCTCCTGAGTAGGTAGGATTACAGGCATGCGCCACCATGCCCAGCTAATTTTTTGTATTTTTAGTAGAGACGGGGTTTCACCATATTGACCAGGATGGTCTTGATCTCTTGACCTTGTGATCCGCCCGCCTTGGCCTCCCAAAGTGCTGGGATTACAGGCTTGAGCCACCGCGCCTAGCCTATTTATTTATTTTTTAAAGATGGGGTTTCACCATGTTGGCCAGGCTGGTTTTGAACTCCTAACCTCAGGTGATCCACCCACCTCAGCCTCCCAAAGTGCTAGGATTACAGGCGTGAGCCACCACACCCAGCCAAAATCTTTTTTTTTTTTTTTGAGACGGAGTTTCACTCTTGTTGCCCAGGCTGGAGTGCAATGGCGTGATCTCGGCTCACCGAAACCTCCACCTCCTGGGTTCATGTAATTCCCCTGCCTCAGCCTCCCAAGTAGTTGGGATTACAGGCATGTGCCACCACACCCAGCTAATTTTTGTATTTTTAGTAGAGACTGGGTTTCTCCATGTCAGTCAGGCTAGTCTTGAACTCCCGATCTCAGGGGATCCGTCCACCTCAGCCTCCCAAAGTGCTGGGATTACAGGCGTGAGCCACTATACCCGGTCTATTTTTTAAATCTCTGATTTAATGTATATTCACTTTGAAATTCGATTTTTAAGAGACAGGGTCTTGCTATGTTGCCTATGCTGAAGTGCAGTGGCTATTCACAGGTCTGAGTCCATTACCGATCAGCATGGGAGTTTTGACCTGCTCCATTTCTGACCTGGCCCAGTACATCTGTCTTTAGGAAACCTGGTGGTTCCCAGCTCCCTGGAGGTCACCATATTGATGTTGAGTTTAGTGAAGACACTGGATCAGAATAGCATACTCCAGCTTAGAACTCCTGGAAGCTCAAGCGATCCTCCTAGTTCAGCCCCCTGAGAAGCCAGGACTACAGATATGTGATACCACACCTGGCTAATTTTAACATTTTTTTTTTGTGACAGGCTGGGCGTGGTAGTGAGCACCTATAATCCCAGCCTCTAAGGAAGCTGAGGCAAGAGAATTGCTTGAACTCAGGAGGTGGAAGCTGCAGTGAGTCAAGATCACGCCACTGCACTCCAGCCTGGGTTAAAGAGTGAGATTCTGTCTCAAAAATAAATAAATAAATATTTATTTATTTTTTTTTTTTTATTTTTTTTTTTTGAGACGGAGTTTCGCTCTTGTTACCCAGGCTGGAGTGCAATGGCGCGATCTCGGCTCACCGCAACCTCCGCCTCCTGGGCTCAGGCAATTCTCCTGCCTCAGCTTCCTAAGTAGCTGGGATTACAGGCACGCGCCACCACGCCCAGCTAGTTTTTTGTATTTTTAGTAGAGACGGGGTTTCACCACGTTGACCAGGATGGTCTCGATCTCTCGACCTCGTGATCCACCCGCCTCGGCCTCCCAAAGTGCTGGGATTACAGGCTTGAGCCACCGTGCCCGGCAATAAATAAATATTTTTATAGTGACACAGGTCTCGCTCCCTATGTTGCCCAGGCTGCTCTTGAATTCCTGGCCTCCAGTCATCCTCCCACCTTGATCTCCCAAAGTGTTGGGGTTACAGGTGGGAACCACTGCACCCAGCCTGGAATATTTTAAAGCAAATCCCAGACAGCTTTGCATTTCATCTGTAGGAATTTCACTAAGTAGCTCTAGTGGATAAAAGATTTTTTTGTTTTTGAGATGGAGTCTCGCTCTGTCACCCAGGCTGGAGAACAATGGTGTGATCTCGGCTCACTGCAACCTCTGCCTCCCGGGTTCAAATGATTCTCCTGCCACAGCCTCCTGAGTAGCTGGGATTACAGGTGTGCGTACCACACTTGGCTAATTTTTTGTATTTTTAGTAGAGAAGGGGTTTCACCATGTTAGTCAGGATGGTCTCGATCTCCTGATCTTGTGATCCACCCACCTTGGCTTCCCAAAATGCTGGGATTACAGGCGTGAGCCACTGTGCCCGGCCTGTTTTTTTTTTTTTTTTTTTTTTTTTAAAGAAAACTACTATGCCATGAACACACCTACCAAAGTTAATGAGAATTCCTTTAGTCTTTTCCATTTATGTGAATTGCATGGGAAAACCCACATTTATCTTCATTACAAACCCCACACCTCCTGGCAAGTTGAAACTGCGCTGACCTCCACTCCCTGCCGGCCCCTTTCCTATTGCCGGGGAGGCACCGCCATGGTGGTGCTCGTGTGCTTTCTTCCAAGCCTCTCTGCTACGACCACCCCTCCCCCATAACCTTCTGTGGTTCATCCATTAATCTGATAGGGAAGGAAAGAGCTCCCTAGGTGACTGTGATGCTCAGCCTGGGAGAGAAATCAGTGCCACTGGCCAGGTTCCCTCTGCTTTCTCACACGGGGTGCACAGCAGCTCCCAGGATGACAGGTATCCGAAGTAGCTTTGAGTGGGTAGGGGGCTCTGGGCCTTTCCTGTGGCCCATGGTTGTGGGGGTCAGTGTCTGGGCAGTTCTGCCTTCCACAGACAATGCTACAACCGCTGATGGCATCTGGATCTCTGGGGAGAGAACTGAGGCCTTCCTTGCTTCCCACTGTCCCAGAACCAGCTGTCCTGGCACCAGCTGGTCCTGGCCCCAGGACACTTGGAGACCCATGTGAGATGAGATGGCCTAGCTCCTCGGCTCCCTGTCCCCAGGGACTCCCAGCATATAAAGAGGCCTGGGTGGCAGAGCAAACCCTGCCCACTGTTCCAGGGAACCCAAGGAGTGAGGATTCCTGCAGGCCTGGTATGGGGAGTCCCCAACCCAAGGATCCAAGGTCTTGGCAGGAGCCTGAGGGCACTTGGAGAGGACAGTCACTAAAAGCCCTCATTCCCTCTTCCCGCCTCCCAAATCTGGGGCTGAAAACCCAACTGTCCTCAGGGACACAGATTTTCTTTTTTCCCCCAGACATGGGGTCTTGCGCTATTGCCCAGGTTGGAGTGTAGTGGTGTGATCATAGCTCATCACAGCCTCCACCACTTGGGCTGAAGCAATCCTCCCACCTCAGCCTCCGGAATGACTGGAACTAACAGGTGTGCACGACCGTGTCTCCCTTTTTTTTTTTTTTTTTTCTACTGTTGAGAAGAGGTCTTACTACGTGGTCTTAAACTCCTGACCTCAAGTTATCCTCCAGCCTCGGACTCCCAGAGTGCTGGGATTACAGGCGGGAACCATGTGCTTGGCCTCACGTGTTTTATATGTGGAGTTTTATGTAAACACCTCAGGTGTTGGGCAGCCTCAGGCATGGTCACTTTCACTGGTTGGTCAACATGGTAATCGGCATCAAACAAATGAAGATGCTTGCCCAGGGCTGCACAGTGAACAAGTGACAGGGGAGAACTTGAACCCACTCCCTGATTCTGGAATCTGAGTGGGTATCCCTGGAAAGCCACGAAGCCCTCCATGAATCCCTCTAGAACAAAGGAGGGTGGCCTGGCAGGGCTGGGTGGAAGGCGCTTACCTTCGTATGCCTTGGCAGCATTCACCAGGCTGGACCACTCAAGGCCGGTAGCCGTGTCAGGCAGGGGCATCATCCCAGGGTCCAGGCGCCGCAGGGGCCGGTCCCGCCCATCAGCCAGCGAGAGCTCTGACGCTGAGATGGTGGCTGGATGGGGAGGGTGGAGACAGCAGTGGTTGAGCATGACAACGTGAGAGAGACACCTACGTGAAGACAATCCCTTGCTTTTGCGGATATGCTACGGGCAGGGAGGAGCATTCCAGGCAGATGGAACAGCTTGTGCTAAATCCCTGAGGCAAGAGTGCTCTGGAAGGTTTAAGGAGCATGGAGGTGGCCATATGGCTGGGTGAGGGTGAGCAAGGGAGGGAGCAGCGGGAGGTGAGGGCAGAGGCAACGTGGCCAGACCGCGTGGGGCCTCTGGGCCCCAATGACGACTCTGTTCTCAACCTGTGTGCAATGGTGCCCCTGTAAGCCTTCCTCTAGCTGCATGTGGGGAGGATTTGGGGGGAGGTGGGGACCAGGGAGAAGCTGTAACCATGACCCACAAGCGAGACAGTGCCACAGGGCAGGACCAGGGTCGGGCCGTGGTGGGACATGAGGGCCAATGCTGGGCCTACATTTTAGGGGCAGCCAATGGGATTTCCTGAGGGATGGATGTGGCTGTGAAACAAAGAGAAGGGCCAGGATTGCGGCTCTGACTGGGGAGGGCAGGGGTGGGGGATCAGAAATCTGTTTCAGGAGGTGCTTAGTGGAGATGGCCCTGGACACCCCAAGGAGGTGGTAGGAGAGGGGCTGGCCACAGGGGCCAGCGACAAGGAGAGTCTCAGGTGCACCTGTAATGGAATCGCCAGTCTATGGACAGTGTTTAGATGTGATGGGGTTGCCTTTTAACTCATGGAAGTTGGAACTATTTTTTTTTTTTTTTTTTTTTTTTTTTTTTTTGAGATGGAGTCTTGCTTTGTTGCTCAGGCTGGAGTGCCGTGGTGCAATCTTGGCTCACTGCAACCTCCGCCTCCTGGGTTCAAGCAATTCTCCTGCCTTAGCCTCCCGAGTAGCTGGGATTACAAGCATACGCCACCATGCCCAGCTAATTTTTGTACTTTTTTAGTAGAGATGGGGTTTCACCATGTTGGCCACGCTGGTCTTGAACTCCTGACCTTGTGATCTGCCCACCTTGGCCTCCCAAAGTGCTGGGATTATAGGCATGAGCCACTGCACCTGGCATGCGCACTATTTTTTACATTTTACAAAGAAACAGAGGCACAGAGAGGTTATATCTGTGAGTGGAGAACGTGGGACATAAACCCAGGCCATCCAGGCTCTGTGATGTGTGGTGTGCAATAAGTGCTGGCCGAATGGGCTCCTGGCTCTGCCCTCGGCCTCCTTGCTCCACCCTTAACCTCCTTGCTTTGCAGTGGTGTGATCTTGGCTCACTACAACCTCTGCCTTCTGGGTTCAAGCAATTTTTCTACCTCAGCCTCCTGAGTAGCTGGGGATTACAGGTGCTCGTCACCACCCCCGGCTAATTTTTGTATTTTTAGTAGACACTGGGTTTTACCACGCTGGCCAAACTGGTCTCAAACTCCTGACCTCAATCAGGAGGTCAGGAGTTGATCCACCCAACCTCAGCCTCCCAAAATGCTGGTATTACAGGTGTGAGCCACTGCACCAGCTCTGTGGGGGAATTTTAATGGAGGAGATGGACCACACTTCATAAAAGTCCAAGAGTCTCTTCCCCCCATCCGCCACAGCTCACAAGAGGCTCTGTGCAGACATCACAGGCAGGCACACCCCCTCAGCTGAGACCCTTGGGATAGAACATGTGTCTGAATTGGAGATGTGCTTGGATTTGAGAGAGTAAGTGTGCAGATGCTGTGTTATACAACACACCCAAAAAGCTCAGGGGGACCCTGCATGCAGCAGCACGCCAACACTCTGCCCCAGGCTGACACTGAGTAGGAAGAATACAGACCCCTAAACAGCCTCACGTCCCTCCAGGCCAGGTAGCACCACCCAGTGAACGTGGTGCAAACTTATGTATCTTTCAGTTTTGGGGGTTTTAGGAGGTAGACAAGGGGTTACAGGGTGCATCTGGGGCATGGCCAACTGCAGCTGGCTCGTGGCTTTTTATGGGGGTGGTGTGTGCACTACCTGTTCATGGGGGGGGTGTTAAATATTTGCTGGGTGATTAAGGAGTGGACAAGTCATACCCTGTACCCCCTGGAAGAGTGGCAAATGTTGGGGGAGCCAGGGAAGTAAATAAAATGCTCACGAAGCAAACCTCTTGGTGCTGGAACAGGTGGGAGGGTTGGGGAATGCTGGAGCAGCAGCTGGTCACCCCCCAACCCCAGGCCTGCACCCTGAGGGTGGACTTCCTCTCTGGTCCAGGGGACTCCAATCCTTGGGTGCTCCTGACTCCTAGGTGACCCTCTCATGCTTGGCCAATGATCCCTTGCTCCACGGGTGATACTCAGTGCCCCACCATCAGGCCCCCCGAAGCTCCTGTGAACCCTATTCCTCCCTCAGATGGTCCCGACACTGATGACCTTCAGCCTCTGACCTCCAGGTGAGCCTGTGCTCTGCTGTCCCCCACCTCCTGACCCCGGGGTAACTCCCGAGCCAGTCCTGGGGGCCCAGGCTCACATTTCTTCTCGGGAAAGCCACAGCCAGCAGCAGGAACAGTGCCAGGGCCGACGGGTGTGTGGGGGTGCTGGTGCTGGCGGCGTGCGGGCAGCGTGCTGGACGGGAAGGCGCAGGTGCTGGTGAAGAGCACATCGCTGGGCAGACCGGGCTCCAGGCCAGGAGGGCTGGCGAAGCTGGGCTCGCGGCGCCCGCTACATAGGCTCTCATCCGACAGCGTCCGCTGTAGGCCCTTCTGTGGCGACTGCTGTGGGACATGGGTGGGATGTGGGGGGCGGTCACGGACTGGGTCCTCAGAGGCACTGTACCCTCCAGGACACTGGTGGCGAGTCCTTAACCACCCAGCATCCATTTCTTTTTTAGAGACAGGGTCTTGCTCCATCACTCAGGCTGGGGTATAGTGGAGTGATCTTAGCTTACTATAGCCTTGACCTCCTAAGCTGAAGTAATCCTCCTATCTCAGCCTCCCAGGTAGCTGGGACCACAGGCGTGTGCCACTGCACTTGGCTAATTTTTAAAAATTTTTATAGAGATGGGGTCTCATTATATTGCCCAGGATGGTCTTCAACTCCTGGGCTCAAGTGATCCTCTCACTCTGGCCACCCAAAGTGCTAGGATTACAGGTGTGAGCCACCGCGCCTGGCCTTCTGCCTCTTTTCTGATCAAAGAGCTCCAGTTTCCCACTGGGAATGCCCACTCCCCAAACCCCTCCTCCAGCTCCGGGTAAGGGCCAGTGATCAAAGCCTGATGGGTTGGGGAAGGTGGTGTGAGCCAAGCTGGACCCGTAAGAGGCAGTGCTGGCACCCCTGTGGGTAGCACTGGGCTGATGTGCACTCTTCCCCCAGGGCTGTGGGCTGGTGGGACACAACTCTGGAGAGACTGCGGTCCATCTCAGTCCCCATAAAACAGCTCCTGCCTGGCAGTGAGGAGGAGCAGGGCAGGCCCGGCTGGGAGCGGAAGGGAAGTAGACACCGTGGAGGGTCCCTGGCGCCCGCTGTTCTTTTCCCCCATCCCTGAGTAACAAAAGCCTGAACTTCTCTGAGAGCCCCTGCTCTATTCTCAGTCCCTGTGGTTTCAGCATATGCAGCTGTTTCTAACCTGGGCTGGAGGAAGAAGGCATGAGGCCCAGGTCCCTCCAGTTGCACGAGGTTCTGGGTATGGGGTAGACTCCCACGTGCCTGCCTAGGCTGGTTATCCTGCGATTCCATCCCAGACCAATGTGCTGCCCTAACTCCCAGCCACCAGCCTATACCCCCAACAGGACTGGACTGGCAGATGCTGAGGGCTGGGGACACGATGGGAAGGAGCGGGAGCGACCTTGGGAAGCAAAGCCCTCCTCCCCACCAGCCCGGATCTGGGATCCCACTGGGAGCTGGGGGTTGTGAGTGAGGGATGTGACGCTACATACTCCTGAGTCTCTCTCCTGCTCCGGCCCCAGGTTGTCCATGATGATGAGTTTCTTCAGGTCATCCTCGATGGTGGATTTGTAGTTCTTCCGTGGCGATCGGAGGTCTCGGAGGGATGCCCTCAACCTCGGTTGTCCGAAGACGTTTTTGGTGTTCGTGTCCACCTGCCTGCAACAAGAGTGTCAGGGTCAGAGGGGAGTCAGGGAGGCTTCAGCCACTTCTCAAAGCTGTTTGGATTCAAGCAGGCTGGGATGCATGGGACGCATGGCCATGGCCCTCTCTCCTTCACCCAGCCAATGCGTGGCAGAGAGGGGCCTGGCTTCTTTCCTCCATTCCCTCATTCCATAAACATTTCCTGGGAACCATCAGAGTCTGCTGTGCTGTCCTGTCCCGGGCACTGGGGACACGGCCATTGGCACCAAGCTGGCAGCCAGTGGGGGAGGCCCACACTGAACACGTGCACAGAGACAGACCCCCTGTGTGAGGGGAGAGTCTTTTCTTTTTTTAGAGACAGGTTCTTGCTTTCTCCCTCAGGCTGGAGTGTGGCGGCACAATCACGGCTCATTGCAGCCTCCTGGGCCCAAGAGGCCTTCCTACCTCAGCCTCCCAAAGTGCTGGGACTGCAGACACGAGCCACCGTGCCAGGCCAAAAGAGAGAGAAGTGTTTGAAGAATAATAAAGCTGGGTAAATAGATGGGGATTGGCGGGGATCTGGGATGGCTTTTCTGAGGGGTGATGCCTGGGAAAGAGAGAGGGAGGAAGGGAGGGATGAAAAAAGGAAGGAAAGGAAGGAAGGAAAGAAGGAAAGAGAAAAAAGGAAGGAAGGAATCCAAATGGTAGAAGAGCATTCCAGGTGGAAGAAGACCACGTGTGCGTTGGGTGAAGTGGCTCATGCCTGTAATCTCAGCACTGTGGGAGGCCAAGGCAGGTGGATCACCTGAGGTCAGGAGTTCAAGACCAGCCTGGCCAACATGGCGAAACCTAGTCTCTACTAAAAATACAAAAATTAGCTGGGTGTGGTGGTGGGCACCTGTAGTCCCAGCTATTCGGGAGGCTGAGGCAGAAGAATTGCTTACGTCTGGGAGGTAGAGGTTGCAGGGAGCTGAGATCACACCACTGTACTCCAGCCTGGGCAGCCAAGCAAGACTCAGTCTTGCCATGGGGGAATGAAGCTAGTGAGTCTGAGTGAGGTGGCTGGTGGGGTGAGGTGGGTCAGGATGGGGTGAGTGAGGAGGGTGAGTGGTAGCAGGTGCGGTTTGGGAGGAGTCGAGGGCAGATCACCCTGGATCTTATAAGCCATAGTGGGGGCCTGGGATTGCATCTGGGGTCCTCTGAGGGCTCTGAGCTGGCAATCTGCACTTTAGAAGTCTCACTTGGGGCGTGGTGGGTGGTAAGGAAGCCCCTGCAGCTGTTCAGGTGAGAAGGGAGAGCAGCCCAGACCAGGAGCTTCCAGTTACAGAAAAGGGATGGGGTCTCAGAGTGAAAGTGCCCTGGGTCAGGGGCTGGGCCCTGTGGGCTAGGGCTGGGCTGTGGGGAGTGGGGCTCCAGGCTGGATGCTCCACGACCAGGCAGGGACCTCCCGAGCCTCACTTTCCTCATCTGTCACATGGGACTGTGGAGCTCACACAACACAGGACAGTTGAGGCACATGAACCCTGAGCAGGGGCCAGGTGCTATGACTGTCACCCTCACACTTGTCTGCTGGGCCTCCTGCTGCAGAAGGTAGCCTGTGAGCCAGGGTCACGCAGATTGCCACCCCTCCTTCAGCATTCCCAAAGCCAAGCTCACACTGTCTCCTGAATGCTCAGTGGCCTAAGGACCATGGAGGCACAGCCCGGAGTGAACACAGGGTGCCCTGGAGTGGACAGGCCTGGGGCTGAGTCCTGCTCTGTTCTGCTGTGGGACCTCTCTGACCCTTGGTTTCCTCATCTGGAAAACACATATGCCTCCTATTGTGGTGGTGGGGTTTGCTGCCAAGTGATTGGCCAGGCCCTGACATGGAGCAGGTGCCAGGAAGTGAGGGCAGCTCTTATAAGCGCTGACCTGAGGCTGAGGGCTGACCTGAGCTGCACACCTGCTACACTGACTGTCACCCTGGCTCATAGCTTTCTCCTGGCCAGGGCTGGCTCCCCTGTGTGCCCCTTCCCTCCACTCAGAGGCCCTCAGGGCCACGCTGACCTCCCTGCCTCCCCTTGCCTTCCGATTCCCGCCCAGCCTTTGGGCTCTGGTCTTTTCTCCAGTGGAAACTGGGAAAGCCGAGGCCCTGCTCCAAGGCATCAGTATACCCCAGGAAAGAGGATAAATACCGACTGCTCACAGGAGCACAACCCTCCCTACACACCAGACACCATCCCGAGGGCCCGCTGTTCAGTAACTTGTGAAATCCACACAGCAGCCCCCCTAGCTAGCCACTATCACGATCATCATTTTACAGATGAAAAATTGAGGCACGAGGAGGTTCTGGTAACTCCAGAACTCTGGCCCTGATGCCAGTCACTCTCTCATCACACTACCCTTCACTGTCGCTCATAGCGGCCACTGCACCTGCAACCGTTTTTCTTTCTTTCTTTTTTTTTTTTTTGAGATGGAGTCTTGCTCTTGTTGCCCAGGCTGAAGTACAATGGCACAATCTCGGGTCACTGCAACCTCCGCCTCCTGGGCTCAAGTGATTCTCCCAACTAGCTGGGACTACAGTTGCCCACCACCACACCTGGCTAATTTTGATTTTTAGTAGAGATGCATCATGTTGGCCAGGCTGGTCTTGAACTTCTGACAGGTGATTCACCCACCTCAGCCTCCCAAAGTGCTATGCTGGGATTACAGGTATGTGCCACCATGCCCGGCCTGTGTCTCTCCCTATTGTCAGTCTACCCAGCAGAACGTGAACCATACCAGAGCAAGGCCTGGGTTTCCCTTGAAACACATATGCAGTTGTGTGTGTGTGCACACAAGCGTGTAAGATAGAGCGTCCTCTGTCACCCAGGCTGGAATGTAGTGGTGTGATCACAGCTCACTGTAGCCTCAACCTGCTGGGCTCAAGTGACCTTCTCACCCCAGCCTCCCAAGTAGCTAGGACTACAGGCGCATACCATTATACCCAGCTAATTTTTTTGTAGAGATGGAGTCCCACTATGTTGCCCATGCTGGTCTCAAACTCCTGGGCCCAAGCAATCCTTCTGCCTCAGCCTCCCAAAGTGCTGGGATTACAGGCGTGAGCCACTGTGCCCAGCTTATAAATTCATTTGATCCCCACCACAGCCATATGTGTTAAGCACTATTGGGATCCCATCTCATAGATGAGACAGTTAAGGTACAGAGAAGTTAAGCCATTTGTCCCAAGTCACACAGCCTGTGAGTGTAGGAATCGTGATTCAAATCAAGGCTGCCAGGCTGCAGAGCCTACCCACACCACTGCCAGGCTTGACTGTCACGTGTCTATCAGAGATGGCAAGAAAAAAACATGGTGTGGAGGACAGCCACAAAGGATTTAAAAATATGCTTCTGTCTGCAGATAACAATTTCTGGAAAAAACTACAAACCATGATGACCTCTGGGAGTTAGGAGTCTTAATGGAAGGTGGAAACATGGGACTTTTACTTTTCATCTGATATCCTTCTGAACTGTATAAATTTACTTAACCATAATCATATGTTATAGCAATAATAATAGTAAAAACTAGCTTAATAAAAGCCGATGCTTGGACTTTTTCATTCTATAACGTAAGAAAGAAAAAAAGAGTCTTTGAACCTGGAGAAGAAATAAGATGTCTTGGGTTCCCCAGGGTTTTAAAGACTGTGTTTCCTTTTTCTCTTTCTCAGCAGCCAGGCTTGGGATTTTAACAAAGGAAGGGTGAGTGGAGGGGCAGATTTTTTCCCCATCAGGTCATACTCCTCCCTAAATTAGAATTCCAGGTCTAGGGTAATGCTGGGTCTGTCAATATCAGGAAAGTGTATTCTCTGGGCAAATTAAAAGCTTTAGATCCAGAGAGAAACAGAGACAAAGAGAGACAGACACAAATCAAAAGGGGATTTCCCCACCCCTTTTGAGTTCACCATTTCCCAGAATGCCCTGCACAGGGGTGTGTGACTCAGCGCAGGGTTCACGATGGCCGTCTCCCTGGCCTTCAGCACCCCACCCCCAGCCAGAAAGGTGCACCGCCCACAGGCTCCCCTCAAGAGGAGCGTGCCAAGACCTCCTGGAAACATGAATAAAATGTGCTTGCTCTCTGCCCTAGCAGTCCTACTTCTGGAAACGTGTCCTTCAAAAGCCTCACATGGGTCCACGGTGCCACGTGTACACGGATGCTTCCCCGGGTCCGGTCTGTGGAGCAGACAGCAGCCCCCAGCTGTGCAAGGGCTGGTCCACCACCCAGAATCACACCCTCCAGAGACGCAGGCAGATGCACATGGCGTGCAGAGGCTCTCACAGATACGACGTCATGTGAAAAAAGAAATATGTACAGTGTGAAACCATTTTTAGAAAACTCACACACCGCTCAGCTGGTGCGCTGGAGTTTACCAAACTTGTTTTTAAGACTGGATACATGAGGGATTCACTTTTTTTTCTTTTCTTTTTTTTTTTTTTAGATCAAGTCTCTCTGTCACCCAGGCTGGAATGTAGTGGCACAATCTCAGTTCACTGCAATCTCTGCCTCCTGGGTTCAATTGATTCTCCTGCCTCAGCCTCCCAAGTAGCTGGGATTACAGGTGGGTGCCACCACGCCCGGCTAATTTTTTGTGTTTTTTTAGTAGGGATGGGGTTCCACCACGTTAGCCAGGATGGTCTCAATCTCCTGACCTCGTGATCCACCTGCTTCCGCCTTCCAAAGTGCTGGGATTACAGGCATGAGCCATTATGCACATCTCCACCCCCCCTTTTTTTTTTGAGACAGGGTCTTGCTCTGTCACTCAGGCTGGCATGCAGCGGTGTGATCTTGGCTCATTGCAACCTCTACCTTCTGGGTCCAAGTGATTCTCTGAGTAGCTGGGAGTACAGATGCCTGCCACCACGCCTGGCTAATTTTTGTGTTTTTGGTAGAGACAGGGTTTCACTAAGTTAGCCAGGATGGTCTTGAACTCCTGACGTCAAGTGATCTGCCCACCTCTGCCTCCCAAGTACTGGGATTACAGGCATGGGCCACTGCACCCAGCCAGGATTCATGTTCTTGG